AAAAAAAAAAAAAAAAAGAAGCTAACATTTGAGCAGAGGCTCAAAAGAGGAAGAAATTAATCGTGTGGATTCAGAGGGGCCGGCACTCCCGCCAGTGGGCACTGCAAAGCAGAGCCTCAGGCTTGATCGTTTCTGGGAGCGGCACGGTGGCCTCTGTGGCCGGAGCAGAAAGAGGAGCCGTGGTCAAAGACGAGGCAGCAGCCAGCCCACGTGGCCTCGCAGACCCGGAGGGGCTCCAGGCTTTGGCCCCAAGGCAGGTGGGAAGCTGCTGTGGGTTCAGCAGCAAGCATCCGCAGGCTCTCCGTTAGCTACTAACTCCTAGGGGCAGTAAATGTAAAGAACACAGAAAAATTGCTGAGAGAGGCAAAATGATCTACGCCGAAGGCAGTCGGGACAGCGGATGCAGGGATGGGGGGCGCTGAGGTGGTAACAACACAGAGACTCTTGGCAGGGAGTGGGTTACACGGGTGTGTGCGTGTGCCAGGACTGATGGAACTGCACGTGCAAGACCTGTGCATTTCATTCACTCTACACAAACTCGACCTCACTGGACGGAAACTGTTTCGGAAAGAGACAGTGATTCTTCCAAACTCAGGATGAAAGACGATTTGTATAGCGCTTCACAAAACACTTTCATGTTTTTAAAAAATGACACTTATAAGAGCTCTGAGATGTGGCCCATCAGTTTTCACTTTTAGATGACCGAGGAGCGGGCGCTGGACCCCGTCCCGAGGCTGTGATGCTGCCACAAACCCGCGGGGCCAGCTGGGCAGGTCCCTCAAGGCCTCCGAGCCCCGGTGAGCTCACCTCTCTAATCCTAGCAGCATCATAAATGATCGCCACGGATCCCCCCGGGCACAGAACTCTGTGCTTCTAGAGCATTCTGTATAGGGGCCAGCGCGGGATTAACGAGGCAGAGGTGTGGGGACAGCCAGGCGGACGCGGGCTGGACTCTGGGCCCTGTCACTCACGCTGCACAGTCACAAAGTGGCTCATTCTCGGAGACCTGACCTGGTAAGTGGGGGTAACCACCTCCACCTCATAGGGCTCCCAGGGAGAGAGCCACTGCATTCGAGTGACTGACAGGTCGCATGCCTAGATATTCGTTCCTAAACTCACACTTCCTTTACAAACTTGCTCTCTGACACTATAGTGATAAATCCTACAAAGATGACTCGGAGACAGTACATACCTGAAAAGAAACTGCCCCATCACTATTGTGAACAGCAAAGGACTTTTCTCCCGTTGCCTAAAAAACAAGACATAATCACCTGTTTTAGGAGGATACTGGCTGAAAATGTACGCTAATGAAGATGAAAATGACAAAAACCCAGAAACACATCCTTTCTAAATCCTAAACTGGGTGACCTTCGAAAGCTCCCCAAAAATAAAATTCACCATCCTTTCAAGATGTCTGAAATCACCTTTTCCAGAGAATGGTAATCCCTCCTCACCTACTTCCTTTTCTCTGCGGTCCTTTCTGCCTCCGCACTAACCCCCTATTCCCGGCTCCCGCCCTCCCGATCCCGCCCCCCCCCCCCCCCCCCCCCCCCCCCCCCAGCACATCTCTACTCTTACAGCTTCAGCAAGACTACGGATGCCCGCTCAGGCCACACCCTGACACCCCACCGGGACGCCACTCCCGATTTCACATGATCAAATGCCACGGGTGTGACGGACCGGCTCTCAGCAATGGAAAGGTACGGAAGGCCTACTGATACCAACAGCACGAAATGAACTCAAAGCAATGATGCGGCGTCAGAGACGACAACTCCTGCCCTTGCGGAACTTCTACAAAGTTCTGCGTTACGGGTCGGCAGAGGCAGATGGCTGCATGCTTCAGGACGGGAGGCGGCCAGGGGCACAGAGGAGCTTGCAAGGTGAGGACCATGTTCACGGTCTTGGTCGTGGGGGCGGGTTCACGGGTGTACACTTAGGTCAACACTTATCCAACGGTCGCTTTACGTGTGTGCGGTTTATCGTATGCCGATTAAACCCGAACACAGCTGTTACAACGCAACGCTGCCATCCGATGCCCCTCACTGAAACCTCAAGATCTCCCCAACCCAAAAAGGTTGCCAATTTGTACTTCTGCGATTCCTACCACCTCCTCTTCTACTAAAAGAAAGGACAAAATAGAAACCCAGCTCCCCTGCCTCACCCCCAGCCCCTTCTTTCCCATTCCTCGTGACCCTGTCACAGCGCTGTGTGTCGTCACAGCGGTGCTCTTCCGGGTCCTCCTGATCATTCCACTCTCCCGGCTCCCAGGCTCCTCCGCACATGACCTTCAGAACAACATCTGCCCCAAACACCATCCGTCTCACAGTCTTTCCTGATCGAGAATTCCTCAGGACTTCCTATTTTCTGTACATCCACAAATGCCCTTCGCTGTCCGGCCCTACGTCAGCTAAGACCCCTCTCTCTGCTCCCAAAGACACACCTTTCATTTCCCACAGGCCAGCGCTCGGTGTCTGTCACGCTTGTTCCTCTAACGTGGTAACATCTCTCCAACAGCAACTCCCCGTGGATTGGGCGCAGAGGTGTGTGTGCCTGTTTATGTGTATGTACACACATTCATATCTGCATTCATATCCGCACATACGACCATTTATATATGTACCATACGCACCTATACACGGGGCTACAAATATATCCAGAGAGGCTGAGCAGTGGCTGGTCGGTTCTTACCTTGGAATCCACTGTACTTCTTTTAGACTTTCCACTGCCTAGAAGCAGAAATGTTTACAAGATGTTATTGTGTGATTTGGCTTTTATATGTATTAAAGTCTCACTGTAAGAGGCCCCAGCCTTGTTTAATAACAAATAAATCAAACAAGGTGAGGCTGGATGCTACCTTGTAGAATCCAACTCCTCAGACTCCAAAACAATTTTTCTACTGCAGAAGCAGCAAATGGGAGATTATAAATGCTCGCTTTCAAAAAAATTTTTTAATGTTTATTTTTGAAAGGCAGAGCACAAGTGGGGGAGGGGCACAGAGAGAGGGAGACACAAAATCCAAAGCAGGCTCTAGGCTCTGAGCTATTCAGCCCCATGAGTGGGGCTCGAACTCATGAATGCAAGATCATGACCTGAGCTGAAGTTGGATGCTTAACCGACTGTGCCTCCCAGGCACCCCAACAATGCTCTCTAATCAAGGATAATATTCAGAAAAAAAAAAAAAAAAGGATAATATTCAGTGCCAACAGGGAAGCTCATCTCTGAATACTCTAGTGTACGTTATTGCCAGAGACGCCACATGGCGTGACCTTCCCCATTTTCTAAGTAGCCACAGTTAAAAACAGATCACTGTTTAAATATGAGGGACGCCTGGGGGGCGCAGTCAGGTAAACATCTGACTCCTCTGATTTTGGCTCAGGTCATGATCTCATGGCTCCTGAGTTCCAGCCCCACACTGGGCTCTGCGCTGACAGTGTGGAGCCTGCTTGGGGATCCCCTCTCTCTCCCCCTCTCTCTCTGCCCCTCCCCTACTTCTGCGTGTGTGCACACATATTCTCTCAAAATAAATAAAAAAGAATATATATATATATGTGTATAACAATTATTTATACATATGGAAAAATACATAGCAAATAGTAGCCTATTTGATACTTTTCACTGACAGCAAGTTGTATTAAGTTTGCTAAAGGCTTCTTTCATGGAACAGAGAGGGTATCTGTGCCTTATTTTTATTTAAGATACCTTCACGGGGAAGACAGGGTTTCAACCTCGCTATAGGGAGAGGGCTTCGAAATAAAAGAAGGAAAAGAAAGTTTTCCATGCAGCGAACGTGTATGTGAGCATGAGAAACCAGGACAAGAAGGAAATGGTGCACAGACACGAAACTACACCATCACGTAAATGTGACGTTTCTGTATGTCTTTTAACTGGGGTCAGAGTTTTCACAAACTGAATAGAAAATGTGTCAGTAATACAGGAAAGAGTAGGTTCTCTTTAAGTACTAAACTATTAGAGGGGCGCCTGGGTGGCTTAGTCGGTTAAGCGTCCGACTTTCGCTTCGGTCATGATCTCGCGGTTTGTGGGTTCGAGCCCCACGTCGGGCTCTGTGCTGACTGCCAGTTCAGAGCCTGGAGCCTGTTTCGGTCTGTGACTCCCTCTCTCTCTGACCCTCCACTGCTCACGCTGTCTCTCTCTCCTAGAAATAAATAAAACATAAAAAAAAAAAAAAGAACTAAACTATTAGATAGACCTGACAGTTAAGAGGCAATAAATATAAACTGGCTAATCAACATACGGAGAAAAAGGCGCAACCTCAGGAGTTAAGCGTGAACAAAAAAAACATGAATATTCTTTTCGCCTTTTACTTTGGGACTAAAACAAACCAAAATCCCAGTTGTGGCTGGGACATGGTGATGTGGTCACTCTTCCCACGTGTTTTCCAAAAGGAGTATCAATTCAGACAACTCATTTGGAAATGGACTGGAACTCCGCATCAATATCCTCTCAGTATTCATATCCTTTGAACCAAATATTCCAATTCAGGGAACCTATCCTAAAGAAAATTCTAGATATGACCAAAGTTCTCCAAATAAAGAACATCCCGCACAGCAATACTTATAACAGCCTGACAAGGGACATACGCCTCCTTAAGGGGAAAGCCTGAGCAAATTCCAGGATCCATATACTGGGATGGCTGATAAGAACGAACTATCTTAAAGTTGAGTGAACAGGGATGCTTAGGAAATTACAAACAGGACCATAACTTTTAAAAATCAGGGGCGCCTGGGTGGCTCAGTCGGTTAAGCCTCCAACTTTGGCTCAGATAATGATTCGTGGTTCACAGTTCGTGGGTTCAAGTCCTGCATCTGGCTCTGTGCTGACAGCTCAGAGCCTGGAGCTGCTTCTGATTCTGTGTCTTCCTCTCTCTCTGCCCCTCCCCTGCTCGCACTCTGTCTCTCTCTCAAAAATGAATAAATAAGAAAAAATTTTTACAAAAAATAAAAAGCAAATGTTCTAGACCCACCCAGCAAACAGCTCAGAAGAAGACAGAACTACTGGGGTGCCTGGGTGGCTCAGTCGGTTAAGCGCTGGACTTTGGCTCAGGTCCTGATCTCAGTTTGTGAGTTCGAGCCCCGCATTAGGCTCTGTGCAGGTGCAGAGCCTGCTTGGGTTTCTCTCTCTCCCTCCCTCTCTCTGCCCCTTCCCCACTTGTGCAAGTGCTCTCCCTCACTTTCTCAAAAATAAATAAACTTAAAAAAAAAAAAAAAAAAAAGAAAACAGAAATACTCAAATTCTAACACAAGGGTGGAGAAATTACTGTTCTGTTTCCCCTTTCTCCCAGTTTCTACTTTTTTCTTTGATGGTTATTTATTTTTGTATCACCTCCAAAATAAAATAATGCTATGAGTGTGTGTGGTTTTTACTTGGGGACGAAAAAGAATCTACGAGGCAGGGCAGGAAAGGAAATGCTATTCTCCACCTTACAGCTTACCTGGTTTCTGCTGAGTCTGGTTACCCGCTGGAACAGGGCCGACGCCAGGCTCCTGGCTCTGGCCAAGGACTTTCTCATCCTTGCTGAAGACGATCCTTGGTAACTGGGTACCAGCTTCTGGTGGGGATCTCACTTTCACCCTACATTCAAGTAAGAGAGAAGTAAACAAGCTCAAAGTCACGCTAGGGCTCTCTGAGTCCCCGAGTTACACTGTTTTGGGGTCTCAATCCATCATCTCAAGTAGTCCTTGCGATGTCCCTGATGCAGCTTCTGCTGTCTGCTTTGTACACCTGCTGAAACGGGGGCTCCGGGGGGTTAATAACGTGCCCAAGAGTGGCTCGGCCGGAAGTAGCCAGGCGAGGACCTGACATCCTCCCCCCGAAGCTTTCATTGCTAGCAACCACACGGTTCAGATGAACACACTTCCCCCCTTACTGTCTGTAATGTGTTAACAAATTGGTGCACAAGGGAAACGGGACGAAGGGGACGATGTTAAAGTGCACTCTGGGAGGGCACGTGGGGGCAGCGGGCACGATCGGTGGCCTGCGGGACATGCACTCCCTCTCTTCTCCCCCCTTAGCACTAAGACCCCAGCCTGCCAAGGAGGGGCCGCTGAGGCCCGGTGCCTGAGTAGACACAGGAGCTGAGCTCGCACAGTCAAGCTGGAGGGGGCACTTCTAGTCCCGCCCGACGGGGGAGAGGCCTCCCTCTCTCTCCCTGGGTGTCAGCTGAGTCTGAATAACGAACTCACCCTGTCAGACATGCCACACCATTTCACACTACCCTGTGTCGGCCTCGAACACTCTTTCCTGGTTCGTCTGGTGAAGCCCACTCACTGGAAGGCTGGATGGGCCAACAGGCGCGTGAGGCCTTCCCTTCCCTTCTCTCCTACGAGTCCCCAGTTTCTCGGCCCTGCCACCACGTCTACATCGCCGTGAGCGTGTGTATTGCTGCTGGGTCTCCGTCACTAGTCTGCAAGCTTCTCGGGGCCGGCACCTCTGTCTCCCTCGTCACGTTCTTAGCCTCCAGCCTCTGGCGCAGTAACTGGCACGTGGCCGACATTCAGTGTGAGCTTAGCTACTAGCTGCACCTTGACTCTCCTCCAGGATGGAACTGAAGCAACGCTGGAATTACTTACTCACTTCTGGAGATGTCTAGGATCAGCACAGTGACAGAGAGAGACTGTTTTTTTAAAATACAGTAGTTCACATCTTCGTCCTGAGAAAGGAAGACCCAACTGTCCATCATCTTATTCATTCACGTCAGGATGAGAACAGAAAGTTTTTGGGACCACGGCAAACAAGCCATCCATCCTCCCTCCCAAACAGCACAAAAACTGCTCAGAGCCGCCCGGAAGCGAAAGCAGCCCCCACGCCGGGGACAGAGCAGTGACAGAAGCAGGATGTTCCCACCCAGTGTCTAGGGCTCAAGTACAAGAGAGTAATCAGGTCACGCATGTAACGCTCACCAGATAAGAAGAAAATCCATCATTTTTTGTGCGGTCCAGGCTGAATCCAATCTAAAGGGGGTGAAAGGAACAGAGGTAAGTAGCCACACAAGGCTCTCGCATCCACACCTTTCTTACTCAAAGAGCAGGAGAGGTGATCCGTTGGCCCGGCCTTCCCTTGGTCCTTTGGGCAATCATTTGTAAGAAGCATCCTCAACTGCTACAATTATTCAAGAATTACACCTTCGGTGTTAAAAATTAAACTATCTGAAGCCTGTCCACAAGTTTTATTTTCTCTACATTCTGATCCTTCGTACTTATGAGGGGTGACGCTCTCATCTACATGACAGGAAAGGTAAAGCCCTTGACCTCCTGGAAAGGCACTTACAGTTGTGTCCTTGTCTGTGGCTCCTTCAGGTTCATTCACTGAAAGGCTACTGACATTGACCACCATGTACCCATCCTTGAAGAAGCCGAAGGTGTTCAGATGAACCTTATGCCTCACGTCGTCCTAGAGAGATTGGCAGTGGTGGAATTAGTTTAGATGGAGACGTTAACTTGATTTATTTAACTGATTTATTGCTTGGGAAACTCCGATATCTAGCTAGCCAGCCCATGTTTCCATATACTTGGCAACATATACGACGTATATGCCTTAATCTTGCTCCGAAAGCTGAAGAGGACTCCTCAGAAATTCACAAGATATCAACAGTTTTGCAGAAAGAGGCATAAACAGATTCAGTTCTCCCCATGCATTTGTGAAGGTCCCAGGGCAGACGAGGTGGTCAAGCGGAAGGTGACTCCCCGGGAAGGAGGAACAATGTCTTAGTCATCCTCACCAGCTTCCTGCCGGCACAAGGCCTGGCATCCAGGAGACACTCGAAACATATGGGGGGGGGGGGAGGGGAGTGGCTGAAGGTGCTCCAAGAATACACTCATTTACATGAACCTTCTTATGGGAGTTTTATGCACCTGCCCGGCTCCCCCCACTGCAGGACGATGAAGGAAACCTGACCTGACTTCTCTCACCGACAATACAATTTTTAACATCTGCATCTAACACAACGAAACGTACAACGGGGTTTCAGGAAACGAAGCCTTACATGACAGGAACCCAGGCACTGGCTGGGTGGGGCGCGACCCCGCGGACACAGGGCAGCCCTGAGACTGCGCCGCATGGGCAAATGCCCCCCGTGCCTGCTGGGAGTCCGTCTCAAAGTGGCGAGTCCAATCTCGACGACGCCACTACATTTTAAGGCCAAAGGAACAACAGTACCAGTGAACACTTCTAAAACAGAGGCTCCACGGACACACTTCATTTCAGGTCAAGTTACGGGTTTTATGCTGAGAACCACATCCCTAAACGTGCACCTCCCGAAGGTGCTCGCAGTCACTAGGTTAAGCTTGGAGATGCAGGGCACTAGGCTGAGCGCTTTTCTAAACCCTGCATTTGCTTCCTCCCCCAACCTGCAGAGTCCTTTCTGCTACTATTTGCATCTGGCTCATGGTTTTAAATTCTACCCTTTGTTTCTTTCCGTTTTTAACATAAGACATCACAAGGCACTGAGCTGCTCTGGGGGCTCTAACTCTCCCCTCCGGTGGTCCCTGCTGGCTCTCACGCTGGCGATTTCTTTGCGTGAGTGGGAATTTTCTCCCTCTAGACCTGGATCTCCTAGACTTCAGAGGTAGCCTAAAACCGCAAACCCCGAAGTCTCGCAGGAGAGGCGGTGGATCGGATCTACGGCCGAGAAATCATAAGCTGTACCCCCTACATAACAGCTAAAACACACGTTTTACTGCCATTAGGGGGGTTGTGTTTCCTCACCCGCTCAACAATTCAAGGACTATAGCTCTAAGGGTCCCATAATATTAGGGGCTAAGGAGAGGGACCCAGCTCCAGCAACACCCCAACCCCACCCTCCTTGCATCCAAGGCTCTGGCTCCAGAGGGCGCAGCTTCCCCTTCCCCACGGTCATTTTCTTTTTTGGGGCCTCTAGGAATTTCCCTGACTTTCCTAGGAGCAAGCTACGCACTTACAGTACGTTGCTGGACCTCCACTTCCTGGTAGGACAGAGTAGCGTGGGACGGGAACTCCCAGGGGGAATGAGACAAGCAGAGAAGATCACAGAAGTCATCCGCTGGAAGGCTCGACCACAAAACCCCAAATGCTGAAGCTCACGTGCTTTCTCAGGATTCTCAGAGAAGTGATTTGAGTGACTCTTTCCTCCATGCTCCCGAAGGCGCGACAAGGCTACTACCACCCTAGGCGCACGGGAGAGAAATCGGTTCGACTGCCTACGATGAGTGCCCCGGGACACTGCGGCTTCAGACTCCAGCAGGGCGCCCAGAGACAGAAGGGATGAACAAATGCCTGCCCCGTGCCGCCGAACCTCACAACAGAACAGTAGACTAAACAAGCCTTATCGCTGTACGACCCAGGCAAGTGCAGGGAAGCCGGTGTGCGGTAAAGGAGGTCAGATGGGGAAGATCCTTGGGAAGAAGAGGCTGCAGTGCCTCAGTGCCCGGTAACTCTGTTGCTGGCTGCACAAGTGTGTTTACATGGTGGAAATTCGCAAAGTTATGGGCCAACGATGGGTATTTTTTAGCATGTGTATTCTACAAGAAGGTTTACGCTTCATAAATATGCTTCTTCTAATTTATCCAGCATTTAGATGCTACATAGCAAAACGGAAGCCTGTTAGAAAAAAGCTTCACTCATTTAGTCCGCCAAGATATTTTCTAGGTATTTGGGGGGAAATGTTTCAATTACAAGCTTATATAAACATTTTTTTCTATATAAACATTACATTCCTTTACTGTTTTTTTCTCACTTTAATATTATCACTTCACTTGATAAAACAATGTTACAAAATACACATTTTTGAAGAATTTTATTTTGATGTTTTGATTTTGATGAAAGAGAGCACGCGTGCACGTGTGAGTGGCAGAGGGGCAGAGAGAGGGAGGGAGAGAGGGAATCCCAAGCAGGCTCCACGCGATCGGCCCAGAGCCTAACATGGGGCTTGCGTCCAGGAACTGTGAGATCATGGCCTAAGCAGAAATCAAGAGCTGGACGCTTAACCGGCTGAGCCACTCAGGTGCCCCTCCATCATTTTAAAAACTGTGGTAAAAATACACAAATCATCATATTTAACAAGCACCACTGATAATTACAATGCAGAAAGTCGGCAAACCGCATGTTGAGAAATACTCCTCTAGAATCTCAAACATTCACAGCAGCATGTAAGTCCACACTGCCCACACCTCCCGAGAAGCGGGCTAGGGGCCAAGGGCTTTCCCGCGCTCTCATCCTCACCCCACCCAGTGTCATTCAGAGCAGCCGCCCCACGACAGGGGACGCAGACACAAGTTCAGGGTGAAACGACTGCCTGAGACAACACAGACCACCAGCGGCGAGGCTGGGAGGGACATAGACCTGACGCGAGAGCCGTTTCCACCCCGCCTCCCCGTGTGTGAGGGTGATGGTGATATGGTATTAAATTCAAACTGGACAACCCAAAAGAAACAGACAAGTTCCTGAAAACATACAACCTCCCAAGGCTGACTCCTCTTAAAGAGGCAATCTGAACAAACTAATAATGAGGAAGGAGACCGAATGGGTAATCAAACAGGAAAAAGAGTTAAAGGCAAAACTAACAGGAGCCGCTCTCGAACTCCTCCGAAAAACCGAAGAGGCAGGAACGCGTCCAAACCCATTTTACAAGGCCAACATTACCCTGATACCAACACCATGTAAGGACGCTACAAGAAAAGAACAGTCAAGGTCGATATCCCTAATGAACACAGAGGAGAAACTCCTTAACAAAACACCAGCAAACCGAGTTCAACAGCACAAAGAAGGTCATACGCTGTGATCAGGTGTGACACACCCCCGGGATGCAAGGACGACCGAATACATACAAGCCAGTCAGTGCGATGCGCCACACTCACACAACGAAGGGAAAACAAATCCTACAGTCACCTCGATAAAAGCGGAAAGAGGATTCAACAAAATAGATCATTTCATGATAAAGACTCTCAACAAATTAGGTGCAGAAGGAATGCACCGCAGGGTAAGACAGGCCATATAAATGACAGCTAACACCATCCTTAACAGTGGAAAGCCGAAGCCTTTTCCTCTAAGATCAGGAACAAACTAAGGTTCCCACTGTTATTGCACCTGTTCAACACAGTCCTGGCAGTCCTGGGCGGAGCAAGGAGGCGTGAAAAAGAAATAAGAGGCATGAGACTACAAAGGAAGATGTAAAAGTGTCACTATTTACAGATGACATGTTATTTTATATAGAAAACAATAAAGATTCCACTGTTAGAATACGTGAATTCCTTAAAGCTGCAAAATACAAAAATCAATATAAAAAAAAATTAGCAGTGGGGCACCTGGGTGACTCGGTCCGTCAGGCATCCGGTCTGACTCTTGGTTTTGGCTCAGGTCACAATCTCATGGTGCCTGAATTTGACCCCATGTCGGGGTCCGTGCTGGCAGCATGAAGCCTGCCTGGGATTCTTCACCCTCTCTCTGCCCCTACCCCCCATATGGTCTGTCTCTCTCAAAACAAAAAAACAAAACTTGAAAAAAAAAATTAGTGGCATCTCTATACACTAACAACGAAGCATCTGAGAGAGAAGTAAAAAACATTTTTTTTAACAATAGCATCAAAACCAATAAAATACTTAGGGATAAGTTTAGCAAAGGAAGTGACAGATCTATATACACTGAAAACTATACAAACAATGATGAGAGAAACTGAAAACACAAATAAATGGAAAAACAATCTGTGTTCATGGATTGGAAGAATTAATATTGTAAAAACGTCAATACTATCCAAAGCAATTTATGCATTCAATGTGAATCCTACCAAAATTCCAATGGCATTTTTTCTTTTTAATTTTTTAATGTTGAGACAGAGAGAGACAGAGCACATAAGGGGGAGGGGCGGAGAGAGAGGGAGACACGGAATCTGAAGCAGGCTCCAGGCTCTGAGCTGTCAGAACAGAGCCCGATGCGGGGCTCGAACCCACAAATCGTGAGATCATGACCTGAGACAAAGTCAGATGCCTAACTGACTGAGCAACCCATCCAACGGCATTTTTCACAGAAATAGACAAAATAATCCCAAACTCACATGGAACCACAAAAGACCCCAAATAACCAAAGCAATCTTGAGTAGAACAAAGCTGGAGGCATCACACTGCCTGATTTCAAAATATATCACAAAGCCACAGTGATCAAAACAGTGTGGCATCGGCATAAAAACAGACCTCGAGACCAACGGAACAGAACAGAAAGTGCCCAGAAACAATCCCAACATTTACGTCCAGCTGGTCTTTGACAAAGGTCCCAAGAATACCCAAAGGGGAGGAACAGTCTCCGCTGCAAACGGTACTGGGAAAACTAGATCTCTACAGGAACAAGGATAAACTGGACCCTCTCTCACTCCATGCACACACATCAATTCAAAATGGACTAAAGACTTACATGCAAGATTTTGA